AGAGTCAGGAGCTAGGAACCAGAGCCGGGGACAAAGCCAGAGTCAGGAGTCAAGCCAGGGGTCAAAGCCGTAGTTATCATCAGGGGTAGGACTCTAGATTCATCTGATCCCTTCTGACAGACTGCGCCACATCCCTAGCCTTTCGACCGAGAACGCTTTATCCCCAGCGCTCAGGTGCTCTGTCTGGGCTTTGTGATTGAATTCAGTCTTTGATGTAACAGGGCATGAGCCATTAATTGCTTTGAACATTAGGACCAAAGCCTTAAACCGGCCTCAGAAGCTGACCAGGAGTCAATGGAGGGACTTGAGCACAAGCTGGATGTGCTCATGGTGGTCTAGGCCATGGAGGAGGCAGGCAGCTGCCTTCTGTGCCAGCTGGAGCCTCTACATCATCTTCAATTTAATGTCAGTTACAGGGAATTACAGTAATCCAGCCGGCGGGTGACAAATGCATATTGTACTGTAGCCAGGCCCTCATTCGGGAGGGAGGGATGAAGTTTCCTAGTGAGCTGCAGGTGGAAGAAGGCATTTTTAGTCACTGGTCATCCAAGCGGAGTGAGGAGTCAAACAGGACTCTGAGGCCTGGTCTACACTACGGGATTAATTCGGATTTAGCAGCGTTAATTCGAATTAACCCTTCACCCGTCCACACTACAGAGCCATTTAGTTCGAATTAAAGGGTGCTTTAAATCGATTTCTGTACTCCACCTCGACGAGCGGAGTAGCGCCAAAATCGATTTTGTTAATTCGAATTAGGGTTAGTGTGGCCGCACACCACCGAATTAATGTGGTTAAAATAAATGGGGTAGTGTGGCCGCACACCACCGAATTAATGTGGTTAAAAACCGAATTAATGTGCTTAGTGTGGCCGCGCACAATCGAATTTATACAACCTGTTTCCCAAATTCGAATTATCTAAATTCGGATTAATCCCGTAGTGTAGACATACCCTGAGGCTTTGCAGCACTTTGATGAATGGGGGCTGTGCAATGACAATGAAAGGTGGAGCCCGTGGCTCGGCCAGCTCTTTAAAGCATTTCCTTTTCTGATCAGCATCACTTTGGTCTTTCCTGGGGTCAGCTTGAGCCGGGTGCTCTGTATCCGAGAGCTGATCTCATACAGGGAGGCAAGGCTGGAGGCTGCTGTGGGGGGTCAGGTTTCAGAAGAGAACTAGATTGGTGCGGGACCAGAGGTGCAGAAATACAGATCTGGGACTGGTGAGTGGGGACCAACAGCAGAGCCTCATCATAAAGCTCTGTTTCTAACACCTCTGCCTGTTTGCAGCATCCCTTATTGCTAATTAAACACCTGTCTCTTGTTCTTCAAAGAAGCTGCCTTTGCATATTTAAACTCCTTGCCTATCTTCCCCTGTTCCTTAGAGGTTTTCTGTATCTGTGGACTCTGGTGTTCCTGTGAAGGAACTGAGGGAATTGAGGCTGCACCTTTCTTGGGGACTTAATGTTCATTGCCACACAACAGCATTTGTGCAGTCCCCCTAGTCACACATTCCCAGAAAGTTCCAGCATCTTGTGTAGCAGGGGGTACCTTTCCTAGGAGGGTATATGCAACGACAACCACCCAGAAAGAACTATAGTTACTGGTAAATAGCCTTTGTGTGTGTACCCAACAGTCTGTCGGGGCATCATTTGCTTGGGATTTGAACATAATTCTGACTTGGCTCATGAGTTTCATCCTTTAAACTTTTCACAGACTTTGATTTTTTATCACCTATCTCTGAAGATAGCATTTCTGGTGGCAATAACATGCGCCTGAACTGTGAGAGTGATTCAGCATCTCGTGGTTCGTGTGCCCATTACAAGTGATTACAAGGATAAAATTGTTATGACCTAAATTCTTGCTCAGAGTGCTGTCAAACTTTCATCTGCAGCAAACAATTATCCTGCCAATGTTGGTTCTGAAGCGACATAGGCCAGACTATATAACTGTTTTTTTAGATGAGGGAAATGCAGATCTAATATATTTGGACTTCAGTAAAGCATTTAACCTAGTACCACACAGGAAATTATTAGTTAAATTAGAGAAGATGGGGATCAGTACAAGAATTGTACTGTGGATAAGGGACTGGCTAAAGGGAGATAGCAAGGGGTTGTGCTAAAAGATGAACTGTTGGACTGGAGAAAGGTTACTAGTGGAGTTCTTCTAGTCGGTCTTGGAACCAATCTTATTCAATATTTTTATGAATGACCTTAACACAAACAGTAGGAGTGTGCTGATATTTGCTAATGATATGAAGTTGGGCGGCACCATCAATACACAGGAGGATCAGAATGGTACAGGGGGATCTGGGTGACTTTGAAGACCTGGAATGACAGAAATGGGATGAAATTCAGTAGTACAAAATTCAAGGTCATGTACTTGGGTCTAATAAGAATTTCTGCTACAAGTTGGGAGCTCTTCAGTTGGAAGTGACAGAAGAGGAGAGAAACCTGGGTGTGGAGGTCGATCAGTGGATGACTCTGAGCCACCAATGTGATGCAGCTGCGAAAAAAGGCAAATGCGATCCTAGGGTGTATCAGGCGAGGCATTTCCAGGAGAGAGAGAGAGAGAGAGTGTAATGCCATCGTACAAGACACTGGTAAAACCTCATTTGGAATACTGTGTACAATCCTGGGCACCCATGTTCAAGAAAGATGAATTTAAACTGGACCAGGTGCAGAGAAGAGCTACTAGGATGATCAGGGGAGTGGAGGGCCTGTCTTAGGAGAGGAGAGTGGAGGAGGTTGGCTTGTTTAGCCTGGCAAACAGAAAACTGGGAGGGGGGGAGGTGTGAATCTGATTGGTCTCGATAAACGGGGGGTAAACACCAGGGAGGGTGATGAGCTATTGAAGCTGAAGGGCAGTGTTGGCACAACCATAGGCACAAACTTTTCTTTTTCCCTGGGGGTGTTCCACCCCCTCTCTACCCCGAGGCCCTGCCCCTACTCTGCTCCCTCTCCGAGGCCCTGCTCTCGCTGTGCCTCTTCCCACCCCCGCTTCTCCCCTCCCCGAACAAACTCACGCTGGAACAAACCCCAAACAAACCTGGCCATGAACAAACTCAGGCTGGAAATTAGAAGCAGGTTTCTAACCATCAGAGGAGCGAGGTTCTGGGGCAGCCTCCCAGTATGAGTTGTGGGGGGCAAACAACTTAATTAGTTTTAAGAGAGAGCAGGACGAATGCAAGAGTATGACTGTATGACAGGACTGTTGGTGATAGTAGGGGTCAAGGCTCAAGAGTTCTGGGGCTCACTTTCAGTTTATGCCTTACATTCCTAACAATCTCATGCTTCAGGGCTGAGATTGTTCACTGCAGGGGTCATGAAGGGATCCTCTGGCCAATGCATCCTGGTGGTTTTTGTCTCCTTCCTCTGAAGCATCAGGAATGGCCCCGTCTGGAGATGGGATACTGGACTGAGTGGTCTAGTGCTCTCAGATGGCACTGAGCATTCTCTCTCTCAGGTGCGTGCCTGGCTGGCTCTTGCCCACATGCTCAGAGTCTCACTGATCATCATATGTGAGGTTGGGAAGGAATTGTCCCCCAAGTCAGACTAGCGGTGACCTTGGAGCTTTTTCCCCATCCTCTACACATGTGGGTGTGGGTCACTGCCAGGTTATCTGCGTATATGTCACTTAATCATTTCCCTGCCATTGCAGTGGCCTCAGGCACTGATGCCCTGCGGTCCCTCCTGTTCTCTCCCTGTGGCACGGCACAGTCTAGTCTCCTGAGGGCTGTGATGCTTTGATCTGATTTTGGCTGTAGGGTTTAGTGTGCAGAAGCTGGGTGGGGTTGGTGGCCTGTGATGTACAGGAGGTCAGACTGGATCATCTGGCGGTCCCTCTGGCCTTACGCGCTCTGACTCTGTGTAAAGGGGGCTGTAAATTACTCCCATGGGCAGGATTAAGCCTTTTTGCAAATCATCCTAATGGGTTGTTGCATGTGGAGATAAGTCTAACAAGCAAGAGATTTTTGGCCCAAAGGCTATTTAAACAGATGACATTTTATGTTCAGACTTGTTACAGCCAGAAAGGGTTGCAGGTACCAGATGTTAGGACTCACTGTGCTAGGGCAGTACCAACTCTGGCAGCTTGTCTTTGTAATGCTTTAATAGTCTGAATGTGTAAGACGGCTCTACATAAAGTTCAATTATACTTTTCCTCTATGGTCTCAATTGGATGCTCATTTCTGGAGACTAGTCCTTCACTTGCTGTCTACTTAATCACATATTAGCCCTCCTGAGGATTGCTAGTGGTGTCTGGTGTCCCAGGAGTGAGGATGAGTAGCAGCAATTCCTTGAAGGAGAAAAAGGGATCCTAACTAGTCACTAGAATTCTCTGCATGGGTTTCCTGTTCAGATCTACGTTCAACCTCTCTTCTTTCCTTGCTCCTTTGAGTATGATGAGAATCTTTGCCATACTACAAGCTGGTTAATGGGCAGAGCTTTATTTAATCTTGGTTTAGAGTGTTATGGCCACTGTCTGGAGCAGGCTGCCCCCAACAGCTACCTGCTTTGAAATGGTTCCACGGCCTGCACAGCTTGGAACAAGTATAACACAGGTCTGTGGCTTTGCCAAGGCAAGTCCTGCAGAGAGTTCAGTTACTGGTAAATAACCCAGAGTAAATGTTTTCCTAACAAGCTCCAGGTGTGAGAATTTTTCAGCAGCAACTACAAGCCCCGAATTTAATCCCCAGCTAGTAGTGGAAGCATCACCACTCAACCTCCTCCGAGCTCTGCGTTCTCTGCCACCTTCTGTGTGTAGGAGTCATTGCAGGAGGAATGTGGGTTGCTGTTGGCACCAGGATTCCACCTCAAAGGTGCTGGCTGTGTACGCTACTTTGGGGCCAAGCCAGGAGGAGTGCTGGTTGTGGCAGTCCGCCACAGCGAATGGCTGTTGCTAGCCCATGTGGTAGAGCAGTTTCCTCTGTGCTAGCAGGCCTGGTCTTTCCTGGGGAATAGTGCAGCTCAGAATCATTCACTCCTCCTCCCTTCCTCTCTTTTCAGGTGGCCATCATTGCAGGAAATTTTGAACTGGCTGAAATCATCAAAACCCACAAAGAGTCTGACGTTGGTGAGTTTGGCCTTTCACCCTATTTTCCCCTCTTATCTCACTTTAGGTCCTGCGATATTTCAGTGGTTCTCATTTCCCAGTGCTGCCTAGGGAAACCAATGGAGCTACTGTAACGGGGGTCTGGCACTCCCTGTGGGTTTTGGGTGCTGGGACTTGCGTGGGTGGTTGCTGTGTGGGTGTTTGTGCTGTCCATGGGGATAGGGGAGGGGCTGACTGTGTCAGTCTGTGTGGCAGCCTAAAACTGTCACCGTTTGTGGTTAGTATGTTTGGTGGACTGTTTACTCTCGCTGTTTTGGTGGCTGTACCAAAGAGTATAAACAGACTGTCGGGCATTTAGCAAGTTGGACTGTCTCTCCAAAACTCTGTTTTTCAATTCCACATCCTCTCTTGTGTGCTTGGGGCAGTTAGTCCCCACGGGGACTCTCTCATGCTGAAGCCCTGCAGCTGGACTCGGTGCAGGGAGAGGAATGCTGCCCACCTCAGGCCACCACTGCTGGGCTGCTGTTGCTGCAGCAGCCTCCATTCTAGTTGCACTCACCCAGGGCTCTTGCCTCACTTACGCAGGGAATGGGCCAAGTCTTGGGGGAGGGATAGCTGACTGGTTTGAGCATTGGCCTGCTAAACCCAGGGTTGTGAGTTCAGCCCTTAAGGGGGCCACTTAGGGATCTGGGACAAAAAAAATCTGTGCGGGGATTGGTTCTGCTTTGAGCAGGGGGTTGGACTCGATGACCTCCTGAGGTCCCTTCCAACCCTGATATTCTATGATTCACTGGGGCATCCCCATTCCTTGCAATATCTCTGCAGCCCTACACAGAGAACCCCTGCAGAGCTGAGCTCAATACTGTGCATAAAGCCAGGCCCCATGCTGAACTTCCTCTAGTTCTCTCCCTGAGAAATCCTCCCCCTGAGAGAGAGACGGGTGGCGCCGGAGTCCTTTAGAGCAATGGAGGAGCTGATAGGCTTTACTTGTGGGAGAGGGTTAACTCCACACAGTGGGTCAAATGCCTGCTCTGAGCAGAGGGTGCAGGGGTGTCCTGGCAAAAGGAGATGCAGTGCTGGACTTCCTGGAGTATGGACCTTCAAGTAGATGTTCAAGCAAATACGAGCTTGCATCATTTGTGAAAAGGAGTGTTAATGCTGCCAAAGGGCCTCGGGGAAATCTGAAGTCTCCCTATAAGTATATCAAGCAGAAGTACTGGCAAGGAAGCAAACACAATAATGAATGACGAATGAGATTGCATTCATGACTATTATAGAATGGCTGAGCTACTGAACTGCTTTATTAAATCTCTTTCTGTTGAGAAAAGATGTAGGAAATCATCTGATCAATTAAGAAGAAAACGCTGACTTTGTATGTACTGTATAGCTGCTGATATGAAGTAGGTCAGATAATACTTGGGATACTGAACATACACAAACCAGCAGGTCCAGATGGCATGCACCTGCAAGTCAAGGGAATTAGCTAATGAACTTTCCAAACACTAGAAATTATTTTGTAAACATCCATTGAGAACTGGGAAGATACCAAAGGATTAGAAAAACGCAAAGATGGTGTTGATCATGAAGAAAGGGGGAGAGCATGAACCGGCTAGTTATCATCTCATTTGCCTACTATCAATGTCTAGTAAGGTAATGGAACATATACTAAAAGAAAGAAAAGTTCACTGCATTTCTAGGTTAATGGAGCCCTGAGCAATAAGAGCAGGAACTTATAAAGGATAATTTTTGGATAATGCTTCTACAGGTCCCCGCTGTCAGGGCTGCACATGCCTGGCTGTGTGCCAAGAACTGTCAGTGGAGCTGTGAACACAAGCCGTGGACCTCACAAATGAGACCCGCCATGTATGGCAGTAAAAGGGGTCATGATCAGCAATCACCTCCGTAACTTTCTGCGACTGGACACTCTCCCAGCTCAGAACCCATCAGGCTGTTCTCTAGGTTCTTACTTTCTTTTTTAGAGAGACTCAGCCCCTTGAATTTGATTTGTACATCTGTGATCTGGGGCAGGGCAGTGTAGAGTTCAAGGTAGAGGAGAGGGGAACTGAATATTTCACCAGATTCACTGGGGTTGAAGCTGCTTCTACTGAAAATGTCTGTGACTCCAGGTGAAGCTGGTTGGTTCTGATCCTGTCCACTCATCTTTCTTGGCATGGACGGCTTGAAATCCTCTGACAGTGGATATGCCCTGTGAGGAAAGGGATCTTTTCAGACACTATTGAAGTTGGGCTAGTCTGTCTTTTCTGTCCCACTCTTTGAGGGTCTGCAGAAGAGGAGAGGTGGGAATTGAGACTGCTCTCTTCTCTACGGTTGGTTAGAACTGAGAGGCTGGATTGTACATAGAATCTCGTCACTACCAACATGATCACTCTCCAGGATCCCTCCGCACTATCGATACATTGGATTGTGGAGGAGGTGCAGACTCTGCCCTCACCTGAGCTGCGACCTTCAATGACACAGCGCAGAGGTGAAGATAACTTCTTATTCCCTTGATTCTCCTCATTTAAGGGGGGTGTGTGTGTGGTGGGGTGGGGGAGAGGGAGAGAGATTTATAGAATCATAGAAATCTAGGGCTGGAAAGAATCTTGAGAAGTTATCAAGTCCAGCCCTCTGCACTGAGGCAGGACCAATAAACCTAGACCATTGGTTCTCAACCCCGGCCCAATCAGCATACAGCTGCAACCTATGTGATATCCTCAGGGCCATAAATGTAGTATATATATTGTGTGGATGCGGCCCACGTAACTCATAGAGAGCTGCATATATGGCCCACAATGGTAAATATATTGAGAACCACTGACCTAAACCAACCTGTTTGTCCAGCCTGTACTTAAAATCCTCCAGTTAGTTAGTTAAACAGACATTAAAAGGTACAGTGCCAAAAGTGAAATCCCTGCAAGCTACATGTAAACTTTTTAAAGACACCATAATAGAGGCTCAACTTAAATGTGTACCCCAAATTAAAAAACATAGTAAGAGAACCAAAAAGGTGCCCCTATGGCTAACAACAAAGTAAAACAAGCAGTGAGAGGCAAAAAGGCATAATTTTAAAAATGGAAGTTAAAGTCTAATGAGGAAAATAGAAAGGAGCATAAACTCTGGCAAGTGAAGTGTAAACATATAATTCTGCGGGCCAAAAAAGAATATGGAGAGCAGCTAGCCAAAGACTCAAAAAGTAATAGCAAACATTTTTTTTAAGTATCAGAAGCAGGAAGCCTGCTAAACAACCAATGGGGCCACTGGACAATTGAGATGCTAAAGGAGCACACAAGGACGATAAAGCCATTGCAGAGAAACTAAATTAATTCGTTGCATTGGTCTTCATGGCTGAGGATGTGAGGGAGATTCCAAAACCTGAGCCATTCTTTTTAGGTGACAAATCTGAGGAATTGACACAGATTGAGGTGTCATTAGAGAAGGTTTTGGAACAATTTAATAAATGTAACAGTAATAAGTCACCAGGACCAGATGGTATTCACCCAAGAGTTCTGAAGGAACTCAAATGTGAAATTGAAGAACTACTAACTGAAGGATCGCTAATGTGATGCTAATTTTTAAAAAGGGCTCCAGAGCTGATCCCAGCAATTACAGGCTGATAAGCCTGACTATATTAAAGAACAGAATTATCAGACACACAGATGACCATTTGTTGGGGAACAGTCAACATAGTTTCTGTAAAGGGAAATCGTGCCTCGTCAATCTATTAGAATTCTTTGAGGGGGTCAACAAGCATGTGGACAAGGGAGATCCAGTGGATATAGTGTACTTAGATTTTCAGAAAGCCTTTGACAAGGTTCCTCACCAAAGGCTCTTAAGCAAAGTAAGCTGTCATGGGATAAGAGGGAAGGTCCTCTCACGAATTGGTAACTGGTTAAAAAATAGGAAACAAAGGGTAGGAATAAATGGTAAGTTTTCAGAATGGAGAGTGGTAAATAGTGGTGTTCTCCAGAGGTCTGTACTAGGACCAGTCCTATTCAACATATTCATAAATTAACTGGAAAAAGGGATAAACAGTGAGGTGCCAAAATTTTAAGTCCAAAGCAGACTGCGAAGAGCTACAAAGGTATCTCACAAAACTGGGTGAATGGGCAACAAAATGGCAGATGAAATTCAGTGTTGATAAATGCAAAGTAATGCACATCGGAAAACATAATCCCCACTATACGTATAAAATGATGGGGTCTAATTTAGCTGTTACCACTCAAGAAAAAGGTCTTGGAGTCAAGAAAGAGATCTTGGAGTCATTGGATAGTTCTCTGAAAACATCCACTCAATGTGCAGTGACAGTCAAAAAAGCTAACAGAAATTTGGGAATCATTAAGAAAGGTATAGATAATAAGACAGAAAATATCATATTGCCTCTATATAAATCCATGGTATGCTCACATCTTGAATACTGCGTGCAGATGTGGTCACCCCATCTCAAAAAAGATATATTGGAATTGGAAAAGGTTCAGAAAAGGGCAACAAAATGATTAGGCTTCCGTATGAGGAGAGATTAATAAGATTGGGAATTCTCAGCTTGGAAAAGAGGTGACTAAGGAGAGATATGATAGAGGTCTATAAAATCATGACTGGTGTGGAGAAAGTAAATAAGGAAGTGTTATTTACTCCTTCTCATAGCACAAGAACTAGGGATCACCAAATGAAATTAATAGGCAGCAGGTTTAAAACAAACAAAAGGAAGTATTTCTTTGCACAACGCACAGTCAACCTGTGGAACTCTTTGCCAGAAGATGTTGTGAAGGCCAAGACTATAACAGGGTTCAAAAAAGGACTAGATAAATGCATGGAGGATAGGTCCATCAATGGCTTTTAGTCAGGATGGGCAGGAATGGTGTCCCTAGCCTCTGTTTGCCAGAAACTGGGAATGAGCGACAGGGGATGGATCACTTTCATAGATTCATAGATTCTAGGACTGGAAGGGACCTCAAGAGGTCATCGAGTCCAGTCCCCTGCCCGCATGGCAGGACCAAATACTGTCTAGACCATCCCTGATAGAC